CTGAGGTGAGAGACACAGAAAGCAGGGTGTCTGGACACAAATATTCCGGGATATGATGTAGACAGCATCCTTCATACTGTCAATACATGAGTCAATATATCGACTAAATAGCTATTCTGATCAGTGTTTTTCGTCAACCCAATATATCGGGTACGCTATCTAGTCGCTAGCTATCATACCCGATAGCTAGCTAACTCAATAAAAGTGGTACGAATTGCTAGGTACCACAAGTTGATATTGCCCTATAATATATTTTCATAGCTAGAAATTCCAAAGGCATTTTTTCATATTAAACACGAAAAAAGCAGAAACCCTTTTTATAAACTATGTGAATTAGAAGACCTTTTAGTTTATACAGATTTTGTTTTTTGTCTCTTAATTTAAAAATACATCACTTATAAAGTGAGTGTTAGGCGTAATAAATTCATAGACTAATGCATACAAAGTGTGTCTGTAAATCAAACTTACGTCTACAAAAATCACGAAACATTTAATAATATCGTTCGTACGTATGTGTTAACGTTATAGCACTCTTTTACTTTTCTTAAGAATAACCTTTTCCAGAAAATAGGAAGGAAGCATAAGATATTATATAAGCAGAGATGATTTTATTGTATTTTAAATATAATTCATATTTGACTGTTTACTCACTGATACCAAAGCTAGGTATGTTGTTCACAACATCAAATTAAAGTTTTGCTACTGCTAATATATTTCTAAATTTTTTCAAAGATTTTAACGTATAACAGAACAACTACAAGAATGTTCAAAGGAGTTTGTATTATATTTACACTATGCTGTTTCTTTGCTCACCAGAGCCACTGTGGTGATGTATCAGGTATAATAGCACCTTGTGTTGTTCAAAACTGGCTCGCATGTGGTTTGAATGTTGGTTCGGCTATCTACAGTCAATATGGTCAATGGAAAGATGATGAAACACGACAGTTGTTTGGTACAACATGTACATCGTCATTTCGAGGTGGCTTTCATAGTTGGAAATGGACTTACAGTGGAGAATTTCAATGTCCATCTATTTCACCGACAATTGTTGGTGAATCAACACAATGGGAGAGTCGCAATGGAGCGATAGAACATGCCATTCAGAATTTTATAACACAAGCTGGACAGGCCGGTGTTTTGACACCACAACAGGTACAAGATTATACTGATGGTGCTGCTGCTGCTGGAAAACGAAGTCGATTTTACCGACGATTTATGAATTCATATCATTTTGATGAATAATAAACATCTCGTTTTTGTCAATTATGAAAAACATTGCTGATCAGATTATTTACTGTCTTTTCTGGTCTCATTTAAGCATAATAAATTCCCAATATCTAGAAGCAGATAA